GAGGGTCGGTCGGTGGAAGAGTAATGGTGGGGGGGGGTGGAGATGGATTCATCACCCACAGAAGATTAAACAGTAATGCATTACATGTGGGCAGTACAGAGACAGATGTGCACGAACAGTGCAACACTGATTCTGAGAGTTTCAAGGATATGTGAACTTCGAGCGATTTCATTAGAAAATCCAGAGTTGAAGATATACGCGCTCTAAGTGAGGCATCTGCGGTTTGCGGACAATATCATGATCTTCTCCAGATTACAGAAGAACTGTAAACTAGAGTTTAAGATCGGAATGAATGCCAGCATCGAATCACGACCAAAAATTGGCCTCAAGAAGACTGTGGTCATGTTTGACAAATATTTGACTCGCTCTGTGTCGAAGGCTTGGATTGAAGAGGTGCAGGACTACGTCCATACAGTACAGGTAGGTTATCTCTGCCGCGGAGAACCGACTGGGTGAAAACACCAGAGGAATGAAAAGCTCATGGAGCGCTTTTGGATAACTGAAAATGTCCCCATTCGGAAACTACTCTTGTACTTGAAATGGAAACTTTTCCGTCAGAGTGTGCTCCCAGTGCTAACGTATGAATTCGAAACTTCGATCTTAAGCTTTAAAGCCACTCCAAACTGGAAACTATGCAACACAACGTGGGAAGACATATGTTCGGATAAGAAGAAAAAATCGGGAGACCAATGAGTGGATGGGAATACAACCAAGAGCACACGGTATCGTTGCATGAATGAAGAGACTGCAGGGCTAATGGGTAGGATACTCTGTAAGAAGAACCGAAAATCGCTGATCCGGAGATGCATTAGAATCGGTTCCAAGAGAATGCAAGGCAAAGTGCGAATTGCATGTAACCCAATTGAAGGCATCTATTATTGTGCTTTACTCCACTTTCTTGACTTTCAGCAGTGGTGACGTCGTTGATCGTGTTATTTCACTAACAAATATGACGTCATTTAACTTTGGATGTGATGTCAGCTGAAACAGATTTCTATATCTCTATATGCAGAACGTTTTCATTACACATGTTTATGCTTTCGTGGATTTAGACGTCTTCACCCTTGGAATCTTGCTACTTTGGGCACAAACCCTCTGACAGGAAAGAAGCGAGTTCAGTGTCGAGTTTGTCTGAAGACG